GTGCATCCGGTTATACAGAGCTACAGTAGCTGGATGCCAATCCTGTTGGCCATTCATTGGTTGAGAGCATCAGCTGGGCGTTCTCAGCCAAAGAACGAAACTCTGTGCACAGAAATATACACAGAATTGACATGGAAGTTCCAGGCTGTCTAGTGACACACCAATGGCAATGACGGACATGGAGAGGGTTAACTTATTTCATAGCAAAATGCTGCACATACAGACTCTAGGCACCGTGACAACTTCAAAACACTGACGTGGTCCTGACAGTTGCAGTAACCCTTAAAGTCAAATGCAAAAGAATAATAAGCGCTCTCTTCTCAGGGGTGAGCTGCAGTTCACCAACAAGGTGTTCCTCTACCTTGTGATAAATGGACAGATAAAATAGAAAGGTGAACAGCGCTAAAAATCAGAAAATGTACATACGTTTTGTAGAAATACTGGCCAGCAGAGTAACTTTAAAAAAGAGAGAAACAAAAATACAAATAATGGTACAGTATGTATGAACGATATAATTCCACAAGAACAAAGGTGTTATATTCACACTCACACTTTGAGGAGCTATATCAGCTCGGTGTTAAGAGCCTGGACGGAATAATCCCCGTCTATGGATTTCTTGAGGTTCAAGACCGTTGGTGAATTTATAGGTGTAAATATTCGTTACATGAAAAACAAGAGTAAAATACACCACATGGTATAGTACGTAAATATAAAATATTGAAAAAAAAAAAAAGTCCAAAATTCTTCCTCACTTGACGCGTTTCGCCGAAGCTTTTCTCAAAAGTGAATCATTCACGTTTGAGAAAGCTTCGGCGAAACGCGTCAAGTGAGGAAGAATTTTGGACTTTTATACAGGATTGGTTTTATAGTTTATTATTCACTTTTCACTTATTGTATTAAAGTATATATATTTTTTAAACTATCCAGTCATTCCTTTTGTCCTCCTTCCTATCCAATACTGCTTTGCTGCTATACCTGGGTCCACTATATCCCAAGGTGGGGATTATTCCACCTGAAATTCTCCAAACTAGAGCAGGTCGTTGCTCTAGTATATGTAAGTAGGATCATCCACTTTTTTTTTTTTCCAAATATTTTATATTTACGTACTATACCATGTGGTGTATTTTACTCTTGTTTTTCATGTAACGAATATTTACACCTATAAATTCACCAACGGTCTTGAACCTCAAGAAATCCATAGACGGGGATTATTCCGTCCAGGCTCTTAACACCGAGCTGATATAGCTCCTCAAAGTGTGAGTGTGAATATAACACCTTTGTTCTTGTGGAATTATATCGTTCATACATACTGTACCATTATTTGTATTTTTGTTTCTCTCTTTTTTTAAGTTACTCTGCTGGCCAGTATTTCTACAAAACGTATGTACATTTTCAGATTTTTAGCGCTGTTCACCTTTCTATTTTATCTTAACCAACCCTTAAAGTCAATTTAGATATGAGTTCAAAGTAGCTGAAATGAAAACATAGCTGACTTGGAAAATTTACAAAGAATATAAATAGTGTGCAGCGCAAGCAAACAGTTCACACCATAAATAGGATTTAGTGCGTACTTGGTTAGTGTATAACCAAAATAACATAAGGATAAATACCCAAATATTGGATGAATCGGTTGGTAGTATACCTATATATAGACAAAAAAAGAAAGAGACACGCTCATAGCGTAATACTGAAATCTTTAAAAAGTAGAAAAATCTTCTGTATGGTCAGACTCACATTTATTTGAGCCTGTTTATAAGGAAAACTGGCTCAGGTAATATAGCCTTAAAGATGTAGTCTTGAAGATATCCTCATACAATGAAGCTTGATCCTCAAAATAAGGTACCGCATAGGCACACCGGTTAGAATTAAAAGTATCAACATTTAATAAAAAATATATAACAATGTGCTTATTGTATTTACTGGAGAACGGCATTACTACATATGAATGTAAGATTTTATATATTTTTTAATAAATGTTGATACTTTTAATTCTAACCGGTGTGCCTATCCTGTACCTTATTTTGAGGATCAAGCTTCATTGTATGAGGATATCTTCAAGACTACATCTTTAAAGCTATATTACCTGAGACAGTTTTCCTTGTAAACAGGATCAAATAAATGTGAGTCTGACCATACAGAAGATTTTTCCACTTTTTAAAGATTTCAGTATTACGCTATGAGCGTGTCTCTTTCTTTTTTTGTCCATATATAGGTTTACTACCAACCGATTCCTCCAATATTTGGGTAATTATCCTTATGTTATTTTGGTTGTACACTAACCTAGTACGCACTAAATCCTATTTATGGTGTGAACTCTTTGCTTGCGCTGCACACTATTTATATTCTTTGTATATCTTTATCCCTGTGGGATTTTTGTGATTATTCACACTTGTGTGTTCCAGCTGCATACACTTAGCGCCACGGATTGTACTTTTTTCCTTTGTCTGGACTTGGAAAATTTGTCTAGTTTGGGTATTTAGTCATAAAAGTTGGAATTCTTAACAACCCATACTTGAGAGGTTTATTCACTAAACTTTGATTTGTAGCAAACTGAAGTCTGATCGGCAGAATGTAGGCTAAATTGCAATGCTTTGACTATAGCTGGGTTGCAGAAT